TAAGGGAACAGATAGCAGAGGCTGCTTTTACTGGAGGAAAAATCCCATCCAGTGATTGGAATGCCAAACAGCAGCAACACCTGGAACTCCTGCATCTTCAGCAGGACCCAGAACAGGGGGCTACAGGAGCTCATGGCAGGGGCACCAGGGAAAGCCACGTATTCCCGAGCTGTTGGGGGAGTTCCTGCCCATGCCCTGAGCACAGGGCACATGGCTCTGTTGTACTCACACCAGCCAGTGCAGGTACTCCGAGTCTGTGTCCCTCAGATGTCCATCTGCCAACACACAACAGAGAAAGGTGACTTAGGGACCCCCTAAATTTACATCGACCCCAAAGTGAGAATGCTCAGACCTGCTTTGATCAGAGGGAGCACCCCGAGACCTCCCAGCATTCCTTTCCTATCACAAAAGGAGCTCATTCCTATAGGATTGAGTTTAAAATGAGGAGCAAAGAACTCTGCAGATCTAATTCTGAGATTCTTGGAATCTTCTTGGTCAGCTGCTTCCCTTCACTGTGCCTTGGTTTCTCAGGGTGAACAGTGTCAGCAAACCTGCATTCCAGGCAGACTGACAAGGGAGAGGAGTTTTGGGATGGGAGTCAGGGAATTGTTGGTGTGACACAGGTCCTGTTGTGTCACTGTTCTCTCTCTCAACTGCTACAGATCTGGGGAGGCTACAGTCTTTCCTACATGTTACACGTCCCTCCCTAGCAGATATCACATCACCTTTGACTATGCAGCCAAAAGAAACAAGAGTTAACCAAAAGCAGAGTGAAACAACCCAGTTTAAATGTGTTTTTTTTAAAGAACTCTCTGCTTACCTGGATTTGTGAGCAACAAAGTCCAGAGGGAGCCTTTATCTGCCTCGTACGACACTGCAGGGGGACTGGAAGCCTAAAAGAGCAACATAAAGAGAAGATAAATCACTCACACAACAGGTTCCATGAATTTGTCACAGGCAAGGCTGGAACACAACAAAGACTGGGCACAGCCAGGCCACTGGAATCCAGCTCCACCTAGATTGCCCCCAGAGCATTAATAACCATCAGCCTGCTAACAGACAACCATCCTGCTGCAAATACCTGTCCTTATCAGGTCGATCAAATACATTTCCTTCAGCACAGAGGAAATGCTGCAGTAAAAGGAACACTGGAAGCATCTGACAGAAACAGACAGACAGGAACAGGCTTCCCATGGAGTCCAGGCTGTTCCCAGCCCCTCTCACACACCTCTGATGGAGTCACCATATTCCCATAGTAGACTGGCACGAGGTGCTCGTCCTCTTGGCTGTAGTGCACCCTCAGGGCCACCCACGGGGTGAAGGTGGCCCCCTTGAACAGGTCCCTGAACACCCCGCAGTGCTCGGCCACACGCTGCTTGTGGAAGGGGCCGCTGGTCCTCTCCCACTCTGCCCTCACCTCACCGAGGGGAATGAGCACTGCAAGGAGACAGGAAGGCTGCAGAGGCACAGCTGGGCACTGAGCCAGGCAGGGCAGGGAGGGGGTGGTGGGGCACTGACCTGTCTGAAGCCGCGCTGCTCTTTCCATCTCAGCGTTCTGGCGGTTCCCCCTCAGGATCGCCTTTCTTTCCCTGATCTCCTTGGCCCGTGACACTCTCTTATGTGGCAGGCTGATGTCTGTCTGTGGCTCTTCAGACAGGGGTGAAAAGATCGCACAGGTGAAACGTGAGCACCCAAAACACCCAAACACAACACTCTGAAACGTCTGAGAGTGTGGGAAAGAGGCACAAACTTCCAGACATCAGGATCATGGAATCACAGAATGGTCTGGGTTGGGAGGGACATTAGAGACCACAGAGTTCCAAACCCTGCCATGGGCAGGGACACCTTTCACTAGAAAAGACTTGAAAGGACGATCAGGACTCGATTCTGCACCTCCAGGCTCCTCCTCCTTCCCCAGCTCATCACCCTCCCATTCCCAGCTTTGGGACTGGGAGCAGCCCAACCTGCAGTCATTTGCTGCAGGTCTGGAACTCTGCATCCTGCTCTGCTCTCCGTGGCACTACTGAGGCTCCAAGGAATCATTTCTTTGCTTTGTGGCTTTTGGCAGGTCCTGGCCAGCCTCCCTCCTGGAAAACTGCCACCCCTTTCCCCAGGAGACATTTGCACTGTGCAAGGACCGACCTTGTCCCAGAGCTCCTCACAGGGCAGGTCCGGGGGCAACCCCATGTCCCCCAGAGCAGCTTCCCAGCCCTCCAGCAGCCCCTCCCAGGGTACCTTTGGGGGGGTTGGTGTGCTGATGGTACGTCTTCCACCACCGGGGCTTCCTGCTCTCCTTCTCCGCCAGCCGGAAGTACCGGGTGAAGCTCCGGTATTTCTCCAGGGCATCCAAGTTACTGACGTCGATGTCCTCGTTGGGCATCGGCCCCAGGGGGGCTGCCCTCTTCCAGAGCACGGCTGCAGGGGAACAGAGAGAGAGGAATGAATGTGGAACAGCAGCATGACCCAGGCTGTGCCACCCCCACCTCCCACAGCCACATTCCCAGAATCATAGAATCAACCAGGTTGGAAAAGACCTCTGAGATCATCAACCTTGATCCAACCCTGCTGTGGTTACCAGACCATGGCATTGATGACACATCCAGTTTCTTCTTAAAAGCCTCCAGGGGTGGTGATTCCATCACCTCCCTGGGCAGCCCATTCCAATGTCTGATCACTCTTTTTGGAAGAAATTTCTTCCCAATTTCCAACCTAAACCTGCCCTGGCACAGCTTAAGACCGTGCCCTCTTGTCCTACTGCTGGTTGCCCAGGAGAACAGACCGACACCCAGGATCACAGGATGGGACACCTTGGAAGGGACCACAGTGTCCCATCTGGTCCCACCTCCCTGCTCCAGCAGGGCCATCCCAGAGCACACAGCACAGGGTTGTGTCCAGATGGTTCTGGGATATCCCCAGGGAGGAGACTCCACACCCTTTCTGGTCTCTGTTCAGGGCTGGGTCACTGCACAAGGAAGATCTTCCTCATGTCCAGATGGAGCCTCCTGGGCATCAGTTCCTGCCATTCCTCTTGTGCCATTGCGGGGCCCCCCCAGCAGAACCTGGTCCATCCTCTGCCTTCTCCCTGCAGATCCTGGCACACACTGGGGAGTGTCTCAGTGTCTCCTCTGGAGACTGAACAGCCCCAGCTCCCTCAGCCTTTCCTAGTCAGGGAGATGCTCCAGTCCCCAAATCACCTCAGTCACCCTCCATGGGACTCTCTCCAGGAGCTCCAAGTCTCTCTCATCCCGAAAAGCTCAGAACTGGACATAGGCTCCAGGTGAGGCCTCGCCAGGGCTGAGTTCCTTGCCAGGGAACACTCCTCCTCCTCCAGCCCAGTGTCCTTCTTGTGCCCCCCAGGCATTGCTGAGGCAGGGACAGCTCGCTGTCCACCAGGACTGCCAGCTCCATCTCCACAGAGCTGCTTTTCCAGCCGGTCAGCCCCGGCCTGTGCTGGAGTCTGGGGTTATTTCTTCCCAGGTGCAGGACCCTGCACTTGCCTTTGTTGAACTTCAGACAGTTCCCCTCTGCCCACCCAACCTACCTGTCGAAGTCCTTCTGAAGGGCTGCACAGCCCTCTGCGGTATCGGTCACTCCTCCCAGCTTTGTGTCAGCGAACTTGCTGAGGAGGCACCGACCCCTCATCCAAGTCACTGATGAACAAGTTAAACGACACTGGGCCCAGCACTGAACCCTGGGGGACACCGCTGGTGACAGGGCCTGGCGTTCGGGACCCAGGCGTCCGGGAGCGCTCCCCCCGCCTCTCCAGTCCCCTCCAGACCGGTCCCAGCCCCCTGTCCCCCTCACCGGCCGTTCCGAAGCTCCGTCCGCCCCGGGCCCCGCGCAGGGCCACGCTCAGCAAGGGCGCCGCCATCTTGTGCGCCAGGCTGGAGGAAGGACCCCGTTACCATGGCGACGGGCGCTGCGTCGCGCAGCCCTGACTTGGAAGGCCCCGCTGCTACGGGGCTGCCCCTCGCAGCGCCTGCTGCCCCGCTGACTCGGGCCGTCCCCGCGGGCATCGCGGCGGGGCTGCCCCTTGCGGCGCCTGATTAGAAACGACCCACAGCCTCCGGGCTCCCCATCCCCGCCCTTTCCCCCCTGAGGGAACTATCCCAGACCCTCCTTCATGCCATGGGCAGGGCACATACCAAAGCTGGGTACAGGACAAGGCCCTGCTCCTGCCTCATTTTGTACTTCAGTTCCTGCTTCCATAAAATCCCCAGGGAAACGTCTGCCTCTGGTATTTTATACCTTGCAGACCCTGCCTTTCACCACACACGCTGCCAGTCCCTCTGGGACCACGGGTCCTTGTAAAGTCTCCTCCAAAAGGTGGCATTTGTAGGAGTCCATCGCTCCAAGCAGAACCCACAGTCACAGACTAGTGAAGTGTCACAAGTGTCACTGTTTGGCACTGAAACTGCTCCTACTCCAGCAGAAGAGGCTCAGCACTTGTGGAAATGGCACCACCACGTGCTGTCAGAAGGTGGATGAGTCCCAAGGAGGCTGCAGGGGCTCTGACAGAGCCCGAGACACAGCAAACCACACCAGGCTGTGGCACTTGGGGGTCACCACCAACAGCAGCAAAGGGGACAAAGAAATGCATAGTTTGCCAATACATCACTGCCAACCCCAAAAACCAACGGACAAGAGCTTCTGTGGATTAAAGATCCTGCTGCCCAACATCATGGTTAAATCCTGGATGTTGACAGTGACCAGCTTTTGATGGTTTTTGAGCCATAATGACACCAAGGAACTGCCACAGCCAGCTCTGCCCTCTGCCAGGGGTATTTCTCCTGTAGTTGTGAGCAGGAGAGGCTGGGATCACTGTGGGATGGGACAGGGATCACTGCCCTGCAACACAGAAGAGCAAAGCCAGAAAGCTCAGACTACATAAAACACCAAAATCCAACTAAATTAAAGGTCTTCTGAATACTTCATTCTACTTCCTCCACTACTTTACACAAGATCCACTGAAGGCAATGCATGAAAAGAGAGACATCTCATCTGAAAACACATTTTTGTAATTTATTAGATCTGTACATAGTTAACTAGTACTGTTCTCATTAGCATATTTTTAACCTGCTCCTCCATCCTCCCTCCCCAGGTCAGCAGGCTGTTCCACTGGACACATGGAAGGCAGAGGTCCTCTGGAATCCTGAACAGCAGTGCTTCCACAGGACCTGGAACACTCGGCAGCTCACAGGCAAGTTTGATTAGTTTATTCAAAATTAAACATTTCATTCTGTTCAGCCACTGCACGTGGAGCCAAACATTGTGTCTGATCATTGTTAGTGCCAGGAAAAAAACTCATCCATGAAAACTGATCCAAAATTAGAGACTAACAGATACCAAAAGCTGCAGAGAAGCATCTTCTCAGATGTTGCCTCAGAACTGCAGGATTTGGGTTTTTGCTGAAGCTTTTTGCCATTTTAAGCTCAAAGCTGCCCTTATATCTGGTTTTATGGTTACTGGACAGAGTTATTGGTGTGGAAAAGCCCAAATGATTTTGCTTATTTGTAGCTGCGCTGATTTCATGGGGCAGCAGGAGGTTCTCTTACAAGATAAATCCTTCCTGTTCAGTCAAAGCACCATGGCAAGGCCCAAGTCAATATAAAAACAAAATCAAGCAAATCAGAGAAAGCTCCTTGGAAATGCACAGTTAGGAAAAAAAAAAAATCTGGACACTTCATTTGGGATTGTCGTTTTCTTGACAAATGCCTTTAAAAACCAGGACAAGATCCCAGAACAATCTGAAGACCCGAGGACCTTGGTCAACCGATTTCTGCCCTCCAATACTGGCTTCATCATTCCAGGTCAAATTTGCAGTTTTTACCACTACATGTGGGGTTTTTTCCCACCAAATCAAACATAAGTAACATTTGTAAAGTGCTTTGAGATAGTGCTAGAAAATACTAACAGTGAAAAAAGGGGCAGAACATCTGCTATCAGCACCCAGCTGATTCCTACCGGTTGTTTTTTATCCTCAGAGCAGCATCACTATGTTCTCCTTTGACTTCTTATTAACCAGGAGCAAGGTGCCAGTGCTGGAGGTGGCACACAGGGAAAAGGAGGTTCTGCAAGGCAGTGAAAGGATGTATTGGAAAACAAAGGACACATGAATATTTCTTCTGGAAAGATTCCTGAAGCAGAGCTCAGCAGAGAAGGATGGGAATTTACTTCCCAGGTACATCAGGAAAACAGTGCCACACACAGACTCACATGCACAAGGCTATGCAGGAGGCTCCAGACAGCACAAATATTTGCCAAACAAGGAGAGAGGTGGTGCTAATTTAAAAAAAAAAAAAAAAAATCAAGACACTTTTTTTGGAGGGGGAGGACATAACTGCTCATCAGAAGCTACTGCCTGAGGGCTGTCAACTACTTCATAGTAAAGTCCTGCCCCCTCTCCAGTTGACAGGAACTTCTCTCTAGTTAGCAGCTTCACAAAAGCAATTCTTGTATAAATCCATAAAGCTTTCCCAGATTTTTAAAAGGTTAATTTTTACCATTATAATTGCACTTTAAAAACAGGCATCAGTCCCTACTCACTCTCCCCAAACACCTCCTCCATTTACAAAAGTGGAAAAGAAAGGCTACAATTATTCACTGTCCTACAGCTACAGGATTTGAAAGGTTTGATTCAGGTGCCTGAAGGAAGGATGCAAACACCCAGTTTTCAGGGCAGGACAAGAGTGCATTTTGAAAACCCTGCAGGCTTCACAGCTTGGCTTGCATCGGCTTCAGGTGCTTGTGGAAAGATTCATGAACCTGCAAGAGGACAAGACAGTGGTCACAAGGTCTGGTCTTTGAAACAGTTTTAGCTCCTCACATCTTGCAGTGTGTTTCTTTCCTAAGGAAATTTGAATCAGAGGCGGTTTGGAGATTTAAGAACAGCTAGATAATTTCTATATTGGAGTGTCTACATGACACAAAACATGAGAATATAAAAAACATCCTGCCCACTGCCTTTCTTCTAAGAAAAGAAAGTAAGATACCTTATATCCATACAATTATTTGGCATTCTAATTAAAAGAAAACTGGTAGAGGTCTCCTAAGGGGACTGTAATGAAGCTCCTAAGCCCCACTGACTTCAGAATTACAAAACATTGAGCAAGTTGTGGTGGGATTTAACTCCAGCTGCAGTCTCTGGCAGCCCATTGCAGGAGATACAGTCTGTCCTAATTAAATAAAGGCACCTCCAAGACAGGATTCAGTTTGGCTGATGGAACAGGGACACTGACTCTTCCCAGCACTGTTTATTTTATTAGCTCAGCTGCAGCTCCAGTCTTAGGGCAGATGTGCAACAACTGACACCTAAATACTACACAGGAGCAATTTATTTTCATCTCCAGTCACTGCTACTGCCTGAACACTGGAAGATTTGCCAGAAAACAGGTAAAGCTTTCACAGTTACTGTCACTAAGCAGAATCAACAGCAAGTGATAATTGCTTTTAAATTCAGTGAGATGATTCAGTTGTTCCTCTATGGAGTGTATCATCTCCTCCCTCAACTGAGAACCCCAAAAGCATCCCACAGGGATGCACATGAGGTACACGTGGGAGAGTAACTACAGAAAGCAAACTCAAAGTAGGTTGCTAGTTTTGGTCCATTACTACCAGTGACTTTTCTCCCCCCTTCATCAATTACCTGCTGAGATCACTGGAGCATAATTAACAACCCTAAATGGAGTTATTTCTCTGGGCACGTGTGAGGAAGAGGAAAAGAGGATGAAATAAGGTTTCCTTACCTGTGTTTTGTTCAGTGGGGATTTCTTTGCCCACTCGAACATGTTCTCGTAGACGTTGCCGTCGTAGCGGCCAAGCACAGATCCCAGATGGACATCATGGAAGTCAAAGGAGTCCACCAGGGCCACTGCATTGGGGCGAATCACAGCCAGGAGCTCCTTCACGTGCTGGTTCACTTGGGTGATTTGGGCACTGGTCAAGATACCCGCCTTGGAGGGGGGAAAAAGGGATTGTAGAAGCCAAAAGAACCTTCCCTTTCCCGTGGTCTAACACAGCTCAGCCTTCCCACACAAAAATGCAGCAGTTCATAAAACACCAGGGTTTTTTTAGTTTACTAAGTAATTAAATTGGCAATTAGCCATAGTGTACAAGCAAATGGAGATGCCCAGCACAGCCTACCATACCACCCAGCTATGTAATCTTGGATGGGAGACTCACTCCTTAGAGGCCCTGTGTGCAAGTTTACTTGAAGAATGTGTATATTAAATTGCTCCTGGTTTCAGGGAATTTTTTAGGAAGCAGCAAAGAGGAAAAATGGGAAGACAAAACATACCATGTCTGCCTGAAGACCACTGCTGCACAACTACGTTCTCAAACTGACAGAATGAGGAGAAAAGCAATGCCTGACAATTTAAACCCATTCACTGAAGTAAGAGTTGAGATTTGAAGTGCAAGACCCCCTTTGAGAGATCCAGCTCTTGGAGCATGTCTAACGTGCACCTCCTTGTTTTTTAACACGCAACACCTGGTCACCAACTGGAAACCATTTCAGCTAAACCTGGCACATGCCTGGTTTCCATTTATCACCCAAATCTCCATTCTGGCAGATCACAAGGGAAACCTGACAAGAGCCTTCCACCAGACCCGCCCTGCTAATGGCCTTCTGGAAGTCAAGAATTTATACCTAAAATAGTCATACATTTGGCATTTAAAGCATCTTTGCAAACAGTGATTCTGGCTCTAAAGTGTTGGGGAAAGACACCCACCTGCAAGAAATCCCCTGTGTTCTTGCTGATGCCGAACAGGGCGTAGAGGAGGCACAGGTCGGTCAGCACAGCGCGGACAGCAGCGTTAGTGACCTCAGACAGCTTTGCTGCAAACAGCTTCACCACCACATAGTGGCAGTGTGCCTGCACAGACACAGGAAAGCCAGTCAGGATCACAAAGAGATGAGAAGCTCTTACAGCACATTTTCTGTAGCAGGCACATCACTCACCTCTGATGCCCGCACCAGGTCAACAGAAGTTCTGTTCCAGGCGTCCTCCTTGCTCTTTCTGTGGTTCAGCTCAGCTTGCAAATTCTTTGCTGCAGCTTCTACAAGTCTGTTTTATAAAAGGAAGTTTACACAATAGCACCACATTCACTAGATGACATACACTGAATTCATACGGATTTCAGTCATGGCACATGAGCTCTGAATTATTCTGATGTGCTGTGACTGAATATATTGCCTGGACTGAAAAGTTGTGCCTTTGAAACATCAGTTACCCCTGCTGCAGCTACAATACAGCTACAGGGGGGTAAAGCACATCTGACAGCACCCATGTGGTGCTTCAATACCTATTCACATGCAGGTATCTGCTCTACTCTCGCATTTCCTTCATAACAGGCTTGAATATCAGGATTGTTTCTCTCCAGAGAGATCTCTGAGCAGTCTCAGAGCAAATACAACATTGGTATTTGTACACGTGAATATACTTTACATGTAAATATTTCCCAATGGAAAGGGGAGCAGAGTAACCAGGCTATGAGCAGGCTGTGAGTAGCCTCTTGTAACCACAAAGCACTTAACACCGACCCCAACCCCCTGAAGTGTGTCACTTCCTGAAAGCAACACACAGATCAAAGCTCTGCCAACCACGCCTTGAATTTCCAGCATTAACAGGGCAGTGCATCACCACCACCTCCCAGGACACCCAGTTTGGCTTGGCTCAGGCTGGTAACTGTGAACTCACCGGGCAGCACGTGCCTTGTAAGCCTCCACCAAGCTGACAGGGTCGTTGATCCGCACGGTCACGGTCCTGGCAGCCACGTGCTGTGGCTGAATGCGCTGCCTGGAGAGGTCATTCAGGTAGGACACCATGCCAGTGACCTGCTGCCCAGAGCTAACCTGGGTGTAGCTTTTGACAAGGAATCTGAAAACACAGACAGCAGACGGCAACTCTTACAAACTGTTTGAGCAGAGAAAAGTCAGGCTCAGGCCAGAAAGAACACTATATGTAGGCATATAATTTTCTGTCAAAAACAGGGCAAGGGACAGAAACATGACACCGGTTTCACGGTAGTACAGAACACTCTTCTGCTACAAATACCACAACACTGAGGCAGGAGCACCCCTGTGCAGAGCTCCCACCACACCTGGCTGTCTGCAGCATCATGACCGTGTTTTCTCCCTCGTAGGTGCAGGACGGGGTGAAGGTGACGTAGATGTCAGGAATGCCACTGCAGCGGGAGTAGCCGTGCCCACCACAGGCCATCCGACATTCCTCAATGCCAGCATTGGCAGTCCAGGAAGTGAAGGCCTTCAGCCCCGCTGTCAGCGCGTGGAGCTGAGGGACAAAGCAAAGCCAGTTTAGATTTATTTCCCGCTCTTGGCTTGCACATGTACACGCAGCTCCCAGAAAAACACCAATCCTGCCTGTCCCACAGGGTCCTATTTTTATTGCAAGAACTCTTTCCTGAGCCAAACTATTTATAGGAAAACCTCTGTACATGGAAAGTCCACTTTTGAGTCTGCCACTCTTTCTGTGCCTACGCATTGTATGTACAAGTCTGTCTTCAACTGCCTGTTGTCACACCAGGTTCTCAGACAGAAACCCTAACAGAAAAAAAACATTTTACAACCCTGGCCCCTCAGTATGGTATTGATACCTTTGATCAACACACCTGTTCTACCCCAGTCACTTGGAAGAACAATTCAGAAGCTACAGCACAAGCATAAGACTAGTCTCAACTCCCAAGTGATATGCCATCATTCCTGGAAAGTCACTTTTTGATAAAATATATTCCCAGTAGCTTTCTCACTTTGCATTACTCCCTGTTTTTTATAAAGTGCTAAATGAATAGTGCAAATAAAGAAGTAAAGGTTACCAGCACATACTGGGATTGGGGGCTTTTGAAACTACAGAAGTACAAGACATCTCACAAGTGAAAATTGTAAAGAAACCTCACATGAATTCAACAAACACCCCTCTGGTTCCCAGAGGACACAGTACCTCTGGCAGCTCACTCAGGTCCCCTTCATTGATGTCCCCACTAATACGATGGTAGGTGTCTTTTATGTAGGCTCCCACAAAATGGAAAGCATATGCTGTTGCCAGGAGAGGAAAGAGTTTGTATTGTTGGGTCTGATAATCCAGGATCTGGGGTTCTGGTTCCCTAGAGCAAAACACAGATGAATCAGCATGCCAAGGGCCAGCAATCTGCTGCTGCAGAAACCCCATTCATAGCACAAGCTACACCCATATCAAGCTGGAGTATCTAAGAGTACCTAAGACCAGTAAGAGCCCCTGGCAGGGGAGGACATTTTGGCAATCAAGAATGAAAGATTTTTTGAAGTTTGAGTGTTTTGAAACAGTATCAAGTGCCAAAACAAACATCAACCACAGCCCCTCTTCCCTCCAGTAATTGAGAATTTTCCCCCAGCACTAAGGCTGCTCCTGGGTGTCCCTGCACTCACCCTGGCTTCAGCTCAGACTGGTGTCTCACGGCGCTGTAGCGGATGGCGATGGTACAGGCGCGGGACAGCGAGCGAGCAGAGTCACCCACGATGAGGGAGCGGATGAACACCATGGTCCCATAGGTCAGCTTGTCACTGACAGGCTTCACATAGGTACCATCTGGCTCAACCTACCAAAAAAACACCCAAAAAAAACAGCTTGTTGAAGTTTCCTCCCTTTAACATATTGACACGTCAAGCTCAAAACTCATCAAGCAGCACTTAAGCAACCCACGATCCTTTTGGTGCATTTATTCAGCCACCCAAGAGCATTCAGTGTGTCCATGTCTAACAGCAGGTGCTGAAATCCACTGCTTTACCTGAGCATATTTCATCAGCATGTTCTCCCGAGGAATTCGGAAGTTGTCCATTTTCAGGTAGCCGTTATCCATTTCATCATAGCCAAATTTCGGGCCAATGTCACCCACTGTAATACCTGCCACAGACAAAGCCACTTGCATTAAGAAACAGGAACTAAACACCACCTGAGAGGTTCAAGCTTTCTCCAGTAAGAAGATTGTTTAGTTTTCTAGCAAGTCCCAGCAGTGTTATGAGCAACAGCTTTGATGGAAAAGTGGTGTCCTGGTTTTGGCTGGGATAGAGTTAATTTTCTTTCCAGTAGCTGGTACAGTGCTGTGCCTTGGATTCAGGATGAGAAGTGTTGATTACACACTGATGGTTCAGTTGTTGCTGAGCAGTGCTTGCACCAAATCAAGGATTTTTCAGTTTCCACACTGTGATGCCAGTGAGGAGGCTGGGGGGCACAACAGGCTGAGAGGGGACACAGCCAGGCCAGCTGACCCCAGGTGGCCACAGGGATATTCCACTTCATATGGCATCATGCTGAACAATAAAACTGAGGGAATTGGGTGGTGTGGCAGCCCACTGCTCAGGGACTGTCTGGGCATCAGTCAATGGGCGGTGAGCAATCACATTTTGCATCACTTGTTTTGCATATTCTCTTATCATTATTATTATTAATTTCTCTTCCTTTTCTGTCCTATTAAATTGTCTTTATCTCAGCCCATAAGTTTTACCTTTTTCCAATTCTCTCCCCTATTCCACTGTGGGAGGGCAATGGCTGTGTGTTTAGCTGCCTGATGGGTTAAACCACAAGTGGACATCAAAACATGGGAAACTTCCTAACTTCCATACAGTCCTACTATCCACTCACTGCAGGAGCTGCCTCTGAAGTTCACCCAGCTCACTTGCACCTAAACAATGATGAAAGCTCTTCTTTCCCTTTCAGAAAGCGGGACATGCTGTGCTAAGAATGCATAGGAGACACTGGGAGACAGTGGGAGACAGTGGGATAGAATAAAATCCCAAACTGCACTTCACATTGAAGGCATGATAGGAAAGGTGATTTAGAGTAGTTCAGTCACAAGAAAGTCTCATTTAAGCCCTGTGATCTAATCACTGAAATCAGCTAGGGAAGTAAGCCATGGACATCAACAAGAGAGCAGCTGTGTATAGTCAGAGAGAAACAGCTCTAACTTATTCCATGACATGGATTTTAACCCTTAACATGGATTTTTACCTGGTAGAGGTTCATGGGTGCCCAGCTGCCTGATGGGAACAATGAAGGCGTGCAGCCCTTTGCACTGGCCCTGGGTATAGAGCTGGGCCAGAACGATGGCGTGGTTTGACGTCTTCCCAACTGCAACAGGAGTGGGAGTCAGAAGGAAAAACACAGTCAAACATACTTACACACACAGAGTCTTTCCTTAAAGCAGGATCTGAGATTACCTGAACCACATCATGCAGTAGAAAACCAGATTTACAACACTGGTTATCACCCCAACTGTACAGCTCTAGACAGTGTTGCTCAAGTCAGTGGAAGTTGCATAACACAGTTCTCTCGACTACACAACACCAAGTCCTTGGCAAACCTACCAGTGAAGCTGAAGGAAATATAAACTTTGATACAACCAAAAATTACATCACATTCATACAGTGTGACTGGTTGTGAACAACAGTCCAGAACACACAGAGGATGTTTTAGCAGGCTCTGGTAAGTTTGTTTCTTGGTGTTCAAGAGTAACTGCCTTTCAGCCAACTCTTTGGGTCAGCTTTCAACCATCACTCTGCAAATGCAACACACATGACATCACCTCCCCAAGTTATTCCATACATCTTCCAGCTTTAGACACACAGTGATGCACTTACGTCCACCTGGCCACCACTTAATGGAGGTGACAGTGGGGCTGTTGAGAATGAACTCCTGCGTGGCAGGGTCGTAAGTGGCTGTAGTCTCTAGACCCCGAAGGTGAGTCCCTGAAAACAAGCAAACACATTGTTTTGGCAGAAAGTCAGTCAGAAAACAGAGACAAGGATAGAACTGGACAATGGAAAGTGGAACTCCAGTAGTAATGTTTAAATTTTAACTTTGCTTTTAGGCTACATGAATTTCAACCGATTAAGGAAGAACAAGTGATAGCCAGACCACAATCTGAGACCTGAAGCCAATTCTCAGAAAATGTGTCAATTTTTTTCCCCCAGTGGTCTGAGACTAGTTTTCCAAGCACCTCCAATCTGACACCTTTTTGTTATCACACACCAGAAGCCCTTTCTCAGTTAAGGCATTCCACAAAACCACGTTCACCTCAATTTCACTAAAATGCAATCTGATTAAATTGCAAAATAAAATCATACCCTTCTCAGCCACAAGATGAAACAAGCAGTGCCCATCACCTCTTTATTCCCTCTCAGGCCTACGTTCTCCTCACTTAATGGAGCTGATCTCCCAAACGAGATCATCCATAGCTCCAAGACAGCAAGTAACGGCACGTGAATGCCAGGGGACTGATGCAGGCAGATGAAGAGACTGAAAAAAGATGGAGGTAATTCCAGGAACAGCCTTTGTCTTCTGCCCCCAACTCTTCACACACACCTGTCTTAGAGCAGTGGCACTGTCCCTGCACGCCTTAAAAAACCAAAAATCACCAGGCCTACTTGCTTAAACTAGGCAAGCTGTGAACACTCCTGAGAGTCTGGACTGAGAGAGCAGAACAAGAGCTCCAACATGAAAAAGGGGATCACCTTGATGCAACCACATTCCCAAAACATGGAGGTAATGGCAGACTTCCACAGGCAGCTCAACACAGACTTACTTTGCTGGTAAAGGATCTTCAAACCTCACTAGTTGCAAGAGATTCTCCTCAGACTTGCAGTTACTTTATGCTTCATACAGTCTCTACATTTCACTTCAGCACAAATGTGAATCCTGCTCATTCTTAGAAAATAATTCTCATCTGCAACTCTCAGATGTCAAAATCAAAGTTTCCCAAGGCACAGTATGCTCCCTTTGAAACTTGGATTAAAAGTGTTGCAATCACAATACTGCTGGAGTTAACAAAATCCATTTCAAAGCTTGAAAGCAAAGGAATAGCAACAAAAACCAAAGTCTAGTTCAGACAGAAAATTAAAAACACATCGAAACATTTCACAGTCCAATTAAAAAGAACACATGGGAGTTAACAAAGGGGGAATAAAACTCCACACAAAACATGAGTATTGGAACAAAGTCATCCGCATGTTCTCTGACCACAGGTCAGTCCAAGGTGACAAGCAACTCTTTAAAGTTTTTGGCATCTCTTTCAGTACCTTAAAAGTTCTGTCCTTTTGTCTTCACACTGGACATTAATCACAGCAAAGCAGAAATCAAACTGGAAAGAATGATGAACAGATGCCACCAAACCGACAGACAGTCAGAGAGGCACTAATGACACTGGTTTGAATGGCACGAGGAGCACTCATGGTGCTCACATATAGAGCTACAGACACCAAACCCTCCTGTAGGGGGAAAAAGGAGGAAGCAGCTCGTGGCAATAATGCCCTGTTAAACACTTCAGAGGCTGCCCACTTCTCCCTACAGCCACAGCTGCACGTGTGAAGTCTCTGGGGATACACACACACCATTCTCCCCAGGCAGGGGAACGCTCTGTACACAAAGCCATTCTTAGAAATAGCATTTAGTGAATGTACTGTACCATGGCCCATTTCAGTCTGGGCATAAGTGCCAATGATCTCCAGGTTCCAGGCAGGCATGAAGAAGCGATCCTGCTGCTCTGGGGTTGCCTGGGTGAGAAGGGTGGGGAGGAACATGCCCAGATGAAGGTCCAGAGGCTCAGGCCGTCCACGGTGAACAAAGCTGTGAAGAATTGTCATGGGATGGGAGCGTGAAGGGAATGTTATGGGAGGGAAGCAAGCATGAGGATTCGTGGTGCAGATTCAGGAAGAGACAAAAAGAAAAAAAAAATGATTCATGTGTAAATCCGAGTTCATCCAGTGTATTTTAGAAAGACAGAGCACTGTCCTTTTCTCAGGCCTGAATAATAAATTACACTCACTTCGAAATAAACCTGCTGCAATGCATTTCTTTCTTATCATACATAAAATGCATCTGCAACATTCACCTATTTTTGATACACCATGATTGATTAAAAAAAAGGGATTGTGAACCTTCACTCTGGTTCACAAATCAGAGCATCCCTAAGCTAAATGGGCTGAGGCAGAATGCCAGTTTGATGAAGATGTGACCTGGCTGGATGCAGGGAGCCTTTACCCAGACATAGGAAGTCCACTTTTTTTTCCTCTTCATTTTCTGAAGGCAGAATCTGGTAGAAATCCTTGTTTATCCAGCTGAACAAGCTAAGTTTTAACCAAATTTTGTTTTTTTAAAAAAGGTAAATCATAACTGTCTGCACTACTTACTTCATTTTTTTTTTAAATTAAAGATCAGACACTACTAGTGTACATGGCATTCCAAACCAACCCCTTCAACTTCTGCTATTTTTGAAAACTCTCTTAAAAGGACAGTGCTCTGCATGTGTAAGTCAATGTTGTGAACACGAACAACTCAGCAAGAAAGCCAACATTTTTCAATCTGCAAATCACCAGCACAAATTATCTCCAATTAAACATGTTTCATTAGAACGACTCTTCCTCCAAGTTCTGTCAAACACCACTGTGAAGCAGTTAAGTGGTCTGTTAAGTTCTTCAATATGAAGAATTAAATGCTTATTAAATCTTTAAATATTGACAGATTTGACTGTTAAAATAGTGGGGATAAATTGAGGATCAGTACCTGCATCTGGCCCATTTATGTATGAAATAATTTCTTTCACAGAAATATATATATATATATTTAAGTTATATGCATTATGGAAAGAGCACTGGTCTGAGTTTGGCTCAAACTCATTTGATTCTCATCAAAGTGGGAACAATGCACCCTTGTGTTCTCTAAACACACATTAATATGAACTAGCTCTATCCCTGGGACTTCCCAAGAACTGCAGTTCTGTTCTTTGATATTCTCAGGCACCTATAAATAAATTCAACCATCTAACAAACCCAGCAGAAATATTTTCAAAGCTTTTTGACTGCACAGTGACGAAGCCCAAGAGGGGCCTAATGGGTTACCAAGAATACTGGATTATAAGTGAGTTCAGTACTGTGAGAAGTACCCAGCTAACAGTCAATGAGGGAAAGGAAATCCTTATTTACCAGCAGTAGTTATAAACCAGACAGAAACAGCACAGTATTTTCACTGCTCCTTCTCATTTCCTGTTCAGTCTTATTAAGTGCTATTTGTGCTTTTTCTTTCTTTGATTTTTTTTGAGAGACTTCTTCACCATGGAACAGGTTGAAATCAACACAGGCTATCACACAGGTAGTCACTAAAATAAAACTGAGCAACTACCCATCCAGGCTGGGGTTCAACTCAATAATCAGTGGTCTATTTCCCCATCACCAGTTTCTAAACATCAGGATTAAATTAAGCAAAGTTCAGTGACAATTACTGCAGCAGCTTTATAGGTGGAGTAGTCAGATGCTCGACATTCACAAAAGTTTGCATTTTAATTATTCAGCAGAGAATATAATAGTTCTATTTAGTGTCAAATTACCATCAAACAGCATGAGAACTATCAGCAAACCAGACCATCACCAGGCAAGAAAGTGCAATCATGTAATGTAAAATTGCAAGGAAAAACCAATCACTTCAGTGTGGGTGTGACTGATTTAAAGCAGCTGTTGTAGGAAAACAAACAAGGACAGCAGGCATTGATTGTTGCCATCCAGTTATCCCTCAGTTTCCAGTGTCGAGCTGGGTTTGCCAACTCCATCTCTCCCAGGCAGGGCAGAGGACAGGATTTCTTTCATTGAATCTTCTACAAACGTTTCAGCAGCTGTAAATGAACAACCAGGCAACTGGCATTGCCATCCAGCTTCTGCAGTGTCCAGACTTGTACACCTCATGCTTTCCCAGTTCAGATGCCAGCACAAGCACTGGAGTCTTTGGTTTGTTAACCATTCTTGCTGGTATTTAACAGCCATAATTCCAGGTTCTGGGCTAAAAGATTGTTTTCTGATGCATAAAATGTTTTTTCCTTTGAAGCAGTGGAAGTTTTCAACAACAGCAGGAGTAAGATGGTTTTTTTCCTCATAACCAAGAACCTTTCCATGAAGTTGTACAGCTGCAGTGAAGAAGCATCTGGAAGAAAAGTGCCTGGGGCAAAGCATACCTGACTTTCAAACCAAACTGCAGTCTCACTGTGCTCCACTGCACCTAAAGGAATGCTCCTGACCTGTTTCTGCAGGCCAACCTTGCACCGAGAACTCTGAGAGACACGTGCCCCAAATGCAGGCAAAAATAAAACCCACAAAACTGTTGGCTGACACTTTCCAACCAGTTCAAGTGAAATTCAGACTCTGAGGGCTTAGAACAATCTCCTCACCGTAAACAACCACAGAGGCAGTGATCAGCTAAGAGGTGCATTCTGGAAAAGACCAAAAAGAACTCTGGGATTGTCAGGATGTAAAAACAGGTGGCTCTCTGGCTACAGGGCAAGAAACATCAACCATTAAGCAAGGTATTTTACCTTTCCCCTTTTAGAGTTACCCAGGGAACATCATAAACTTACACACTGGAGTTACAGAAGAGAGGTTACCCATTGATGCCTGAAGGGAACTAACCATGTCCCAACTCGGTTTGGGCGTAGGTGCCAATTATCTTGACTCCACGGGCCAGGGGCAGCCACTTCTCCTTCTGAGCAGCAGTCGTTTGGGTCTCTATGGTTTTTTGAAACATGCTGAAGTGGAGACCCATTGGTTCAGGCACATTGCCAATGCATGTTCTACAGGAGAGAAATAGAGGGATCTGGATCTCAGTCTTACTGTGATTGTGAACCTGAAAGGCTTTTCTCCAACTAGAGAAAAATAATCTCTTGGCCTATTTCAACCCTTTTTTTTTGTCACACAACCAAACTTAGGCATTAGAAGCAATGCTAATGGGGAAATAAATGTTTCTTCCAGACATTTGCATCTCCCCATGAATCCTGCTGTTGCTATGTAACTGTATAATAAAACATTATTCTACAAAGATCTAGGGGGAACTTAAAACTAAGGACATGAAAATTAAATCAACTACTTTCTCCCCCATCTCTCAATCCCACTGCTGCTGGTAGCCTACAACTAGGCCTTTATTAGCTACAAGCAGTATGTACTGAAAAGGAAAAGGCTTCTTAGGTGACCGAGTGCTTTTCAGAAGGGCTTTGTATTACCTGTAGCTGCTCCTATCAGTTGTGAGATCAGGAACTCACCTTTAATTAAAATTACCATTACAGTCTAGTGCTGGAGGGAATGGAAGGAAAAATCAGACATTTTAGGTGTCCTTTATCTAAGCAGAAGTTATTTCATGAGAGAAAATTCTAATTATGTAGTAGCCACGATGGCAGGCAAAGTGCATTCCCAAGTACAACAAGCTCTGTAACACAAGCATGCTAGAAAGTGTCACTGTGGAGTACATGACTCCACAACATCTTCCCTTCTGATTTTTCCAGGACCAAAACTATTGCAATCAAGTAATCTGATGCTGGTGATTAATGCATGAACTGTGCTTTAAGCTGGTGTGAGTGCAGCTAGAGTGTCTCAAGTTCTTGGAATAGAGGCAGATGGTTCTCTTACCAGAAGACACTTGCCTACAGCAGCACAAGTTCACAAAGCTGATGCTTTCAGGGAGACCAAGGGCCTAAAAATGCTGCAAGGACAGCAAGACAGAATACCTTCAGCATTCTTGTGGTTTCCTAAGTGGGTTATTCTCTTAGCCCAGGACCCATATAGCAACAGCAGCACCCTTTATTTCCTCACTGCCTGCAGCACAGTTATTGTGCATCTGCTCCTCGGGCCCAAAAGGACAAATCTACAGAGAGAAACCGAGTGCTGACTTCAAAATGCACAATTTCTGGGCAGCTTGGGAAGAGCTTGAATGGTTCTTTGGGTATTTTCAGAAGCTATTGAAGGAATTTGTGAAAAAGTTGCAGCACGTGCTTTGCTGTCAGAAAAATCACGTCAGACACTGCTTCTCTGAAGGTAATGCTTCAGAAAAAACAAGAATATTAAAGGCCACAGCTGCAACTTTCACTGCCTATGAGTAAGTTTAATCACAAGTGCCAGGTATCTTGTGCTTAACTAGCACCTTCTCTGACAGGAGTAAGACAACAGACATTTTGCAAGTGGATGCTTTAACACCCCTGTGTCAGAAGGTCATGGTGTTTCACTAACTAAACATGCAGCATTTTAACAGCTTCTCCCATTAACGAAGCTGAAAGCTAAATTACAGCAGAAACTGTTCATCTCTGCATACTCCACACTGAATATTTAGGATTTCCTTTTAACAACCTGAACCACAAGAAGACAGAAACCTGTTTTCCTCCAGAAGAGGAGGAACAGTTGTGAAGGGAGGAACAAAAGGCTTTCTTCTCTTCTTTTCCTTTCTGTGAACTCTTACTGCTTCCCATCAGAATTTCTACATTCCCACTGGGTTGTTCCCCAAAGGCTGCAGTGTGTGCCATCATCAAGACTGACTGTGGCACTGGCCATTTGTTCAATGACCAACAATCACCTTGGTGGCCTGAGGTCAGATTTGCTGGGACAACCAGTGTCATGAGGAGGCTGCAGCTCCAAATCCACTGATGGGAGATGGATGTGTAGTAACCCATGCTTTGGCAATATAGATCTTTCCAAATTTCACAGCAACCAGTGCCACCCACACAGCAGAAGGCACCTGTATGACAGGTAAGTCATTGTCTCTCAGTGCACAGAGCATGACAGAAGCAGAGTCTGCCTCTTCAGAGGCTCTAAAGCTACATAAACAACTGCAAAGCCACTCTCAGGCTGCAGAGCTGGGTCACAGAACAGGGTTAAAGCAAAGTCTGCATGCAAACTTTTCTGCTTTTTGCAGGAGTCCTTGAAGTAACTCTCTCAAGGAAGAGCACGAAGGGTCATCCCAGAGGAGGAGGAGCAGGAGCTATGTCTGCACTGTGCTTACTGGGCCTCAGAGCTGACAAATCCTATGGGAATAAACTCCTATTCCAGCTGTATCAAAAAAAGCAAGTCAGACTCATCCACTTCAAATTAATTTAGCAGTGGCCCCTAGTACAGTTTTTCTGGTTTGATTCCTCAAAGCTACACCAGGTTCTAATTTAGTGTCAAAAGGAGACGTAAGGACAAATTCCCACAGGGAAAGTGCACGTTCACACAATGCCCATGAACACAGGGATTGCTTGGTGACCAGCAGCTCTTGGATCTTCTCCTCTTCAGTGACCCAGTTTCTCCCAACTGTTTTTCACTTCTTCATTTAATCCCATTTTCCTCACTGAAGGTTAATTAAACTTGAAGGTGAATTAAAACTGGCCAGATTGCTCTCTTCCAAGAGCTCTGTAGCATCACACATCAGAACCACTTCCCACTTCTCATGCTCACTTACATTTTCCTGTAGTTAGGACTGTCAAAGAAATCTGAAATACTGGCACTTTTAGGCTGCTGGCCTTCAAAGCTGTATCACAGCAGCAACTGCAGTGTGGACATAAAAGAACTGACTACATGAAAAGCAATTAAAATGGATTCTAGATATATTTAATAGATCCTCTTACGGTTTGGAGTCCAACAAAGCTCTCTGGAAACAGAGGAGGAGCATTCATTCACTTGGGCATGTCACAGCAGCAACAACTGTTTATGTGTATCTTCAGGGCAGCTGAAGGAAGCAGCATTTCTCCTCACCTATTCATAAATCAAGCTATAAAGTCAGTGAGTCATGTGCCAAGCTCCTTAGTGCTGTTCAGGGAATATAGGAAAGCTACAGGAAAACTACTGGCTCAAAATTCTCCAAAAATTGCATATGTAAATCTGTCCCTGCTGTTTGGGGATGATTGAAAGAACTTCTTAGGCTTCCATATGTAAAAATCTGATGGTCAATCACAATAAATACAACTTGACATCTGAATCAAGGGCTTCAATCTCTTTCATAAACTTCATTCAAGGCATGTTGCAACACCACATCCACTCAATTTTCCAGTTTGGAAAAATGCATGAATACAAACACAGTTCCTCCAGGTCAGCTTTTGCACTCATGAAGTTTCTTCTAGTTAGCACCAATTAGCATGTTTGGATACGGGATAGAAATAAACTTCATTTTGCCAGCTGGGTGGAGTTCACTGAGTTTAACAAATATTTGACACTCAGCAGGTGAGAGAGTGGAGACAGATGTTAAAATGCAAATGAAATCAAAGGATGAAAAAATAATCCTTTCATTTCTTCCATTTATTAAGCAGCAGTAAGCCCACATCCTCCCTTGCCAACACCAGACATTACAGTAAAGAAGTCAAATCAGGAATAGTAAGTGTATAGTTCTCAGAGCAAGCACACTGCACTTGTAGGCAAGAAGTTCATGTACTGCTCTTCATTCTGTTACATGTCATTGTATGTTATTCTACATGTTTATGCAGAATAAATATGGTCAAAAAACGGTAAAAGCAGTCAGTCTAAAGTAATTGCATTTATAGTTTAAAATCCTGAATGCCTGCAATTAGAATTGACTCTGAAAAAAGTCTTCCTCATTGTTTCAGTTGATTTTGGATCATGAATTCTGACTCATTACACCTGACTATTCCTATCACATAAAATATAGAGGTATTATTTGGTGTCTATATGAAATGTTACACTTTCATCCATTTAAAGTTAAGAACTGCTGACTCCCACACAAGTTTATGGAAATACAAAACTAGAATCTCTCACTTGGCTACTTCTGAAAAGTCTGTTTTCATATGATATTGTCAGTAATGCTACCAAAGACAGTATTTACATTGCAAACTCCACTGAAATTTGCCAGCTGGTAGATTGGATAGACTTCTCTGAATTTTCTCCATACAAATAAATGAAGAAACTTCCCTCTCACTTCCAATAATCCTTGTGGAGGAAAAAAAATTAATCATTAACTTTTACTATGCAGCACTGGAATAATCCAATACTGTCACTGAACTTGTTCTTTTTAAAGTTGGCATTGGTGGACAATGAGAGCAAAAACATTTACTTTACTTCCACGAGAACTTTCATGACACAGGTCAGTGCGGACCAATTTCTTGGAAATTAAAACCACAGTGATTTCAACTACCTGCTCCCAATATTCATGCCCTAAGGCCCATGCCAGATTTGCTACAAAACCAGTCAGAGGGGGCTTGTGATTCATTAAATACTGTGCCAGAGGATATATCCATGGTGTTACCATAGATTTCTAGGTCTGTGTAGTCTGTTAACAGCCTCTGTTTGATTAAATCAGAATGAGTTTAACAGAACTAAGGGGAAAAATACATCAAAATCAGGAACTAAGTTCTGATTCCTCCTGGAAGGGATGAAAACTCAGATGTAAAGACGGTCTTATTTTTATTAACTTAACCCAAGGGTCATATCAGATAAACCAAAGGTCTGATAGAACAAAAAGCCTCTGGGTCAAAGGGAACCACTGTAGCACCAGGAGCGTGGAGGAGGGAGATAGGACAGGCAGTGATAAACAAGAACTTCTAAGCCATCCTGGAACATTTTCAAGTATGCCTGCAATGTTACTTTATTAGGTCTAAGTGCAAAGTGAAGTAATCGGATTTAAGATATTTCATTAGAAGCTGCAAACTCATCAGATCTATTCAGGCTGAAAATATTTTAGTGTATTTTTTTACTTCTTTTGTGGAAAAAAAAAATCAAGCTACAAGTCCCATTTTTTACTTTCTGCACCACATATAAGAAATAGGGTGTAATTGTTAATGGTGCATCTCTAGTCAATAATCTAAGAAAACATAACATTCATGAAATCGAGGTTTCATCTGAAATTCACTAAAGCCAAGACTTCAGTGGACTTTTGCACAGGTTTTGAGCTTCCCCTGGACAGCAAACATAGGGAAAAAGCACAACTCTGATGTCCTTGGTGATGATCACAGTACATACAAAAAGCAAATGCTGGATGTAGGTACCTTTTAAACCAGAAGATCTCTTCAGGATCTGCAATTCCATATTCCCTTAACTTCATCACCATCAAGGAGCTCTTCCTGATGGCTTGCTCATAGCGTTGGCTACGGGACAGGAAGTTCAAATCCTCATGCTGGAAGTCAGGGTCATTAAGAACTAAGGCCTCTGGGGACAGAACAGAAGAGGAAAACAAGCTCAGTTTCCACAAACCTCAACAAACAGTGGGTGAGAAATGACCCAGCTTTTTACCTGCTGTACCTCAAGGCACAGGTACCAGAAAAATAAAAATAAAACTGGAAGTTAATGAAATCAGAAAAAAGTCAAAGCCCTTTTAGAGAGCACTCTCATTTTACACATAAACCCCATGCTTAGTTCAGAGCACTCTGGACTTGGCAGGAGGGCAACTCACTGACGTAAGACCTGCAGGTCCCCCAGCAACAGCCTCAGAAGCTCAGGCTGCTGTACCTCAGCCTCCTGAACTCTGATCCCCTCATAACTCCCTCCCTGCAGAAGGGCACAGCGACTATTCCCACTGTGCCAACCGGAAAACAAGGCACCCTGAGGCCACAGACCTCCTGTGGCCCCCTCTTTGGCACAGAAGTTACACAACAGCAGCCCCTGACAGTCCCACCCCAGGGAAGAGAATGGAAGCAGCTCATTAATCTCTCATACCACAGTGGTGGCAGGTGACAAACAGGTGACATTTGTACTGTTGGGCAAGTGCGTGGCAGGAAGGAAACAGGAGAGGAGAGGGCCCGAGTGAAATGGCCGTGAGAGGCTGCCTCTTACTCTCCAGAGGAAGGGGAAACAGAAGTAAAAGGACATTGCTCTATCAGGGTCAGCCCAGAGCCTTCCTGGAAAGGGGACGAGAGGGAGACCAGGGACGTAACGCAGCTCCTGTTCCAGTCTAAACCATCAGAGAGCTCCTCTCCTGTCTAGCCCTAAACTTCCTTTAGGCTGTGACCATCTGTCTGCAAATCCTCTCTTTACAGCTCTCCCCTCTCCTTGGAGTCCCCCCTCTCCCCAAAAGCTCCTCCACACATCCTTCCCCCCCCCCAAGTGTCCCCCCCCCCCCAACCTCGTTCCCTCCTCACCTTCCCGAGGGTCCCCACCCCGTTTCCCCGTCCCCATATCCCGGTCTCCCTCGCCCTGGGGGTCCCCTCTTGGGTGTCCCTCACTCCACACCATCTCCCCTCCCCACCGCCGCGTCTCCTTCTCCTAAAACCTCCTTCCCCAAGCCCTCACCAGGGCTGTCTCTGCCCCTCCTCACCCTCCCCAGCCCGGTCCCCGCCGGGCCCTCCCTCACCGATCTCCTTGCGGCGGCGGGTGCGCTCGGGGCCGCCGTCCAGGATGTGCGTGAGCAGCAGGGGCTGGAAGGTGGCGGCGGCGCGTTCCCTCCGCAGGTCCGCGTTCATCGTCATCGCGGCGGCGGCGGCGGTTCCGCTCCGTCCCGATCCCAGTCCCGATCCCAGTCCCGATCCCAGTCCCGATCCCAGTCCCGATCCCAAACCCGGCCCCGATTCCGGCCCCGCTCCGCCGGCGACGCCCCCGCGTGACGTCACTCCCGCGACGACACGTGGGTCCCGACCACGTGGGCGCCGTTCCCACGGGATGCGGGGCTGGAGCGGTGAGCGGCGCGTTAGACCGAGCTTGGAGCGGCGCCTTAGCGCTAAAACGGGCCGCAGCCGGGGCTGGGATGCGGTGCGGTGTGCGTGGGGGACGCGCACATCGCCTCCCGCATCGGCACTGGGTAGTTAATTAAATAAACGGCTCGTTAAATGCCTTTGGCGGGGCGCGTTCGGCCACGCGTTAAACGCGGGGCTGGGCAGTGCTCTGGATGTGCATATAAAGTGCTGCGGTGGAGGTGGCGCGGGCATTAAATAGCGCATTGGGCGGGCACAGGGGGTGTGGCGGTCGGGGTGCGGCTTCTGCAACATAAACGGTTCTGTACCCGAAAAATGCACACCGAGCACCTTGCACACCTGGCTAATCCCACCCGCCCGCGCAGCGCCATTCGGGAGCAAAACCCACGCCGTGCAGAACAGCCTTTGCCCTTCAGGAGGTGCAGAATTGGCCCTGCTTGTCCAGTTTTAGGTGAGGCGGGGGTGGAGGGAGCTGCGGAGTGCAGGGAGGTGGGTCTGCACCTCCGTGGCCAGGTTGAGACCGTGCCTGGGGGATTTTGCCGCCCGCCGTGTGTGTGCCCAGCCTTACACGGGGCAGCCAGACAGCGTGAGGCATGTGCAGAGACGGGCTGAGCCAGGATTGCCCTGGTTTCAGCAGCCTCCCACGGACTCCTCCGTGGGGCATTTTGCAAGCCCCGTGAGCAGTGCTTTAGAATGAATCCTTTTCACTCATCGCTGTCTCCTAAACCCTACTAGACTGCTGATGAAACCAGGCTGACTTGTGTCCAAGTAATTGTTCTCCAGCTGCAGGATCAGACACTGCCAGAATTTCTTATCCTGCAGTAAGAGAACAAGTTCAGGATAATTCCTTAAATCTTGCTGCATAGTAACCCATCACCCCAGCAGCTGAGGCTACTCCTGCATCTCAGACCCTCACACTCTCTGAATTTCTCAATCACCATTTTTCCCACTTCTTAACCTTTCTTCACCTATCCATATTCTGGGCCAGTCCTGGAGGATCTGGTGGGCTGCCTGTTGTTTGTGCTGGGTTGTGTGGGAGTAGACAGTGCCCGTTTATGCCAGAATACCCCGGGCTTGACACCGAGCTGCAAACAGGACTCATCAGGGAAGCTGTGAAGCTCCTGCAGCCCCCTGGATGGTGGTACCTGGGCAAAGAAGGGGTTTTCGGGCAGTGTCACTTATAACTTGGAACAACATGGACTCAGATGTTTTGCTTTCCTGCAGGCCCAGCAGTTGTGCGAGATGCTGCCGAGTGCTGGTGTCTATTACTTCCCATGGGAGATCAACAACTCAGTCCCTGAGGGGGAGGCCCTGAGGACGTTTGGCAGGTGAGAAGGGTACCCTGCTCTCCTTGTGGGCCAGGGGATTCCATAGACGTGCCTTTCCTTCACTGGTTCACTCCCCTCACTTGGTTTGTAATTGTATTTCTGCACCACTGAGCTTCCCAAATCCATCATTCCCAGGTTATGCTGCTATGACCTGGCCCGATCCGAAGCCGTTCTCACCGCTCAGCACAGCTCAGCTCAGTACCAGGTCTGTGTCGACACCAAGTTTGTGGAGCCATTCCAAGCCCAGCTGGGATCTTTCTACATCGTCCTGGGAGAGGCTGAATACAGGGAAGGTAAATGCTCCAGGAACCAGTGCCTTTTGCTGCTCCTGGGTCACTGAGGGCAGTGTGGGCCAAGGCAGCTCGTGTCGTGCAGCTGCCTCCGGCTGATCCAAGGAGCAGCCTGTCTGTCCCTGTTGACCATGAGAAGAGCCACCCTTATCTTGGTGAAAATCTGATGCTCTGGCACAGATTTTGTTAGAGACAAGAAGCACCACTGCTGGGCTTGTGAGACCTGTGCTAAAGCCTTCTGGCATCACCGGCAGCCACCACACCAACCGTCTTCGTTCCGAACGTGGCTGATTGCAGCAATACCTCATTGCAAGCTCGCTGGGTTGGTCTTTGCCATCCTTGAAAGGCTCTAATTATCATCCCTGCCCTCAGACATGTGAGGAATTCAGGCAGGCTCTGTCATGCAGTGCACCCTGTTGTCCTTTCCTGGGGTGCCCTGTGCTCCAGCTGCTTTGCTTGGGGAGTTGATCTGAGCTGGGCTGAGACGGTGAAGCAAATCCTTTGTTGTCTTGGCCACACCTGGTAACAAGCATTCACGTTTGTGCCACTGAAATCCTCAGAATGTGGAAAGCCATGCTGCACGTGGCCTCTAGAGAGCGACCTGCTACACCACTGCCACGAAATTCCTCTAGAAAGATGGTATTTTGGTCATCACAGGCTGGGAGTGAGTTGGGCCCCTTTTGCAGGGATGGAAGGGGAGCAGGCTGAGATGGTGGCTGTGTCACCAAGGTTTGGTCCCTCTGTGCAGCTCCATGTTACCATTTGAATGCTACCAATGAACTGCTGGTTACAGTCAGCTTTGAGCCTCTTCTAAGCCCAGCTTTGTTCTGTCCTGTTGTCTGCACAGGAGCATTCAGAAATGAGATTAGACCTGTCCCTGCTGCTTTTTAGACAGGAAAAACCAAACTCCATGCAGCCATGAAGTAGACAGATGCTGTATGGGAGGCACTGGCACCGTTCCCCAGTGCAAGGAGACCGCAGTGTCAGTCACCTGCATTTTGTAGCCATCAGGGCAGAGGGGAAACATGTCACTGAATTAACCTGCTCCCAGGCCTGCTGCTCCCTTCAGTGGCCAGTGGCCAATCCAGTCTCCTGGCACTTAGGCTGTGGTTACTTGTCTAGCTGGAGCCATATGCTGCCTCAGGGAACTCTCTGTCTCCAGGCTGCTTTGTCTGTTTTTCTTTCTACAGAAACTTCCAGTCCCGTGGTAAAAGCACGAATATTGACCTGCGTGGAAGGGATGAACGTGCCCTTGCTGGAACAAGCCATACAGGAGCAGAGGAAGTACTTCAAGGAGAGGCAGGAGCAGAGGGAAAGCAGCACATCCTGACAGCTCCGAGACCTGCCATACGCTGGTCCTTGCACTGCCATTTGCAACAAATATATTAAAAGTAAATTAGGATGTGGGTTTGCTACATGGGTTTTGCTGTGGCAAAGAGCAAAGTCACTGAGCAGGGAAGCACTTAAGACTGTGAGTCAGTCTGTGACTGGGTTATCCATTCATGCCATGTGTCATCACTGAAAATAGCTCAGGGGAGGTTTGTTGTTTGTTTTTTGAAAAGGTGAATAAGGAAAGGGGACACTTGGGTTATACTGGTCCTTTTGTAAAACAGGGCCTGGAGAAGTCGGGAAAAGGAGAAGTCTCCGAATCTGGAGTTAAGCAGCTCATTGTTGGCAGATTGGAGGAAAGAGGAAAGAGTGTCCTGACTCAGTTGCCACACAGGAACATTCCTGGCAAAACACTCACTTACTTGGATTGACCAACAAAGAAACAAGAAGAACAAAGAGTCCCTATTTTCAGTAGCAGCTGCCTCTTCAGGCTTTCAGTAGTTGGTGTTCAAGGGGAGGATTGATTTTACCTCTAAGATAAATATTTGCAGTGCCTTCCCAACCATCACTTGACTTTCTTCCTTGACACAATTAAGTTTAAGAGATCTTAAATCCCTTTTGAGAGATTTTTTTTTTTATTGATATTTTCCTAAATAAAGATGAAAAGAGAAGGCAGCCTGTCTTTTATTGATTAAAATTCTCTTTCTTGCCAAGTTAAATGCATTAGACCCTGCACAAACCCTGTGGATGATGTAAGAAAATTCAGTGGTACACATTTTTCCTCCTTCTCCTAAGTACTGGCTGTGTAAGGAATTGGTTTGGTTTGAAAAAGTTGCAAGAAAAGGAGATGAAGTTTACATCAGAGCCACTCTGGTTTAAGAACATGGCGCCAGGCCCACCCAGCAGAATTAAACCACTGACAGAAGGACAGAAAATCACTAATGTCAAGTGAGAATAAAATGGTTTTTTTGTTGAAATGTGCAGAAAATAAGGACTGAAGCTGTCCAGTGCATAGCAGCAGATAAAATACAACAGATGTTGGCACAATCCCGTTGCAGGCAGGCTTGATTCAAGGGCCTGAGATGACAATTACAGTACTTGCATTAATCTTTAATCATAATTTAGTCTTATGTTTTTCTTCACCCAGTCACAGAAATAGAAAAGCTGTGACTGAGCACACTCTGTTGAGCCCAAATCCAAACCCATGATTTCAAGAGGCAAGATTATAACCTGGTTTTGTGTAAGGCAACAGCGAGTCTGTCATGATGCATTTATGTTTACACCACATCTCCTATCTGTTCTACCTTCCTCCCCGTGCTTAAATTTTATCCAAATGGCCAAGTTTGCCAGAGGTGGGATTATCCAAGATGCCAGGACTGAGAACATCCAAAATACCAGGTTTCTACAAGTGTTATGATAAAAAAATCAACCCACAAATCCTACCAGTAAAGAACAGATCAAATTTGGCAATGACTTCAGACGGAGATTTCAGTGCAAACTCAACCTTCATAAGCCACCAGAGAACCCACACAAGAGTTTGCCATGGCCGTGTGGATCCCACTTCTGCCACAGAGCAACTAATGCTTTGTTTTTTTCAAATTAGCAAAATCAGGATTAATTAAAAAAAAAAAAAAAAGAAAAAAACAGAAATTAAGCTGCTGGCTCAGCAATAGGCTAAATCAGCCCTAAAAGTTGGAGTCTTCCCTGTGGATTCACTCAGCTGCTATGTCCATGACCACCCAGAGATGTGAAGCCTCCAAGCCCTCCAGACAACATTCCCTTTGGCTTTGCCTTTCCTGGTGCCACAATACATGAAATTATATTAATCATGTCTTCCGTCAGCTGTCAAGTCAATGATTAATCCCTCCTCAAGGGCATCTTCCAAAAGGCTGACCAAGCGGCACAGCCCACGGTGAGGAGGTTAAAGGGACAATTGTGCAAGAGACACATAAAAAAGGAAATATAAAAAGGAAAAAAAAAACAATAAAAAGACATCCTGCTGGGTCTTTGACCTCAGCGTGTCCCAGGGAACATTAATCACGAACTTGATTATCCCCTTGATGCCAAAAACTGTACAAATGGAGCGGGAGAGCTTCCCCTGGCCCTGTGCAGTTCTTGCTGCCTTTCCCCGGGCCCCAAAGCGCCTCTGTACATCCATTTTCCTCAATTTTTGGCTTTAGCCAGCACACTGCACAACCCAGGTGGAACAACCAGCCCTGGTAAACCAGGGTGTGATTCTCTGGGTCTGCCAGAAGCCCCCCGACACCCCCAGACCCCCAGAGTGCCCAGGCAGCCCTGTCCACCCACAGCTGCCCCAGGCAGGTCCCTGAGGGGGTCCCTCAAGGCTGAGGGGGCAGCAAGCAGGGACTCAGACACAGCAGCACCTCAGGGGACACCCAGGGAGACCAAACCCCTTCTCCACATTCACCTTTTTGTTTCCCGCCTTGTTTTTTCCCCTCAGAGCACAGCGCCGGCCGGCCACCCCCCACTGCCATCGCCAAGCAGAGGCAGCCCCATGGAGGCCATCCAGGAGTCATTCCAGAAGGTGGAGAAGATCGGGGAGGGCACTTACGGTGTGGTGTACAAGGCTCGCAACAAGCGCACGGGGCAGCTGGTGGCCCTCAAGAAGATCCGCTTGGACGCGTGAGTGGGGCAAAGCCCTGGGCCCACCATGGTGCCAGGCTCACATCCAAAATGGTGCAAGAGGCTCAAAAAAGCCTGACATGAGGGAAAAAAGTGTCTCTATCAGCTCGTGGGAGTGGTTAGAGCCTTACCCAGTGACACCAGGCCCTGGGCTCAAGGCACGGGGCAGGGGGAAGCAGCTGCCATTTTGGGAGGTGGTCTCTTCCTCAGGGCTGTGGTGTGGGGGTCTGTTGAAGTTCAGCCTCCCAGCAGGGTCAGCCTCAGCCCCTCCTAGGTGGGACTGAGCAGGTAAAAGCTCATTGCTCTTCCCCTGGATCAGCCCTGGGCTGTCTGCACAGTGAGGGGTGTCTGTGGGCTGGGGGGCAATTGTGGTGGGACTACAACCCCATGGTGGCCCCTCAGGATTGGGGGAGGCAGCTGCCTGAGAGACATAGAGCTTTTATCTCCCACCACCTCCAAAAATCAAGACCTAGGCATTTAAACCATTATTGCCTCTCTAAGTGCACCCTGAGGCGCTTCCAAACAACCTCTGCCCTGGGACTTGAACTGTCTGGGTCACTTCCTCCGTCTCCTTGCCCACAACTCCATTGGCCCCTGCCTCGCCCCTGGCACTGCTCCATCCTAAACGCTCCCCTGGGCAGGTGATGGGGTACAGTGGAAGAGGGAAGGGACACAGGACCCCAATGGGCTGTGGGATCCTCCTCAGTTACAGGGTTTCTCTGCCACAGGGAGTCAGAGGGTGTCCCCAGCACTGCGATCCGAGAAATCTCACTGCTGAAGGAGCTGAAGCACCCCAACATAGTCAGGTAAGACAAACCCTCCCCAACAGCTCATCGATGAGTTCCTGCTACAGGAGCTCTGGGTACAAGCAGCAAGAGGAATTTTCTATCCTTTCCCAACTGCACAGACAGGAGAAAAATAAACAGGAAAATGCAGGAATCACTTGCACTTTCCTAACTCTCAGCAATACCTCACTCCAGCAACACACGCTGGTCTAAGCCATTGCTGCTCCGTAATAGCTGCATCCTTTAAATCTGCCTCTCTCTGCTCCAAAGGGCTCACAGAGCAGAGGCATCTGTGGGATGAAGGATGTTTGGATATTCATAAAGTTCTAGGAGAAGGTACTGAAGGGAGAATCTCCACTTCTTCTTTTGCAGGCTGCTGGATGTCATACACAGCCAGAAGAAGCTCTATATAGTGTTTGAGTATCTGAGTCAGGACCTGAAGAAATACATGGACTCATGCCAATCTGGAGCTCTCCCTTTAAGCTTGGTCAAGGTACAGTGTAGAAGGAGTGCCAACAGGCAGGGCAGAGAGCATGTATCCCTGCTGCCTTCTGCTGGGCAGACTGCACCTGGAAGAGATTCCTCAGCCTCTCAGATCTCAAACATTTCAGCTGGGAAACCCTCGTGGCACTATTGCTCAGTACATTTATTTCCCAGCTGTTTCCAGGCTCTCCAGCCCATCTCTGCTGCAGAACAAACTCAGGGATCTATTGCTCATTGCCTTTGCAGAGAGTAATGGATGAGTGGAAGGGACTAACATTAGATCCATTGCCTGGATTAGAGTCCTGACCCCATGCAGGGTGCGAGCAGGTTGTGTGTGTCTCTGAGTAGTAGCCCAGAAGCCTGATGTTGCATTGTAGCAAGGTCTTTTTTCCCATTCAGATCTATAAGTAATCCAAAGTTTGTTGGTTCACACAATCCAGCATTCAAAGTGTTTTCATCATGGCCTTATCTGAAATCTCTTCTCTCCTTAGAACTACCTTTTCCAGCTGCTGCAGGGTGTGAGCTTCTGCCACTCTCACAGGGTCATCCACAGGGACTTGAAGCCGCAGAACTTGCTCATTAACGAAGCAGGAGCAATCAAGTTGGCTGATTTTGGACTGGCAAGAGCTTTTGGAGTCCCCCTGCGCACATACACTCATGAGGTAGTGTTGAGGCTCCCACAGTGGGGTACACAATCCACAGTGGGTGAACAGTAGCAGCAGCATCACCACAAGTTACTCATCCATAACGGAGGCACAGCCATAGCCAGGAACACGCTCTTATCCTAACCTGCACCTAAAAAGTTACCTCATGTCCCCACGAAGTCTTCTGTCTCTAGCCTGGCTGCAAGCTGGGTTCCCACCTTCTCTGTACAGGGTATATTTATTTGTTCCAGAGCTTGTTTGTTGGTTCCTTTCCAGGTGGTGACTCTGTGGTACCGAGCCCCCGAGATACTGCTGGGATGCAGGTACTACTCAACCCCTGTGGATATCTGGAGCATCGGCTGCATCTTTGCAGAAATGGTAGGATGGGTTTAAATAGTGTCTTTAATGGGCAGGGAGGAGGCAGCTGCAGTGGGAAGATGGGATGAGGTGCAAAACATCTGTGATACTGTGTTCCCACCCTGTTATGGAAAGTCCACCCTGAGGGTTAGCTGATCCTTATCTCAGAGGGAAATCTGCCACCCTCAGGGACCTGGCAGAGGGCTGCAGTTCCAGGTGCATGGGGCCATGGTGCCTCTCCTCGAAGAAGGGGTAAATTCTGTCTTGCTGTTGCAGCATTTTGATCCTGGGAGGAGATAACTATGTCTCCACAGTGGGCTGCAGAGAACTAGCACTGTTGTAGCGTGGCAGAGTGGATCTCATAGGGGCCTGTACTCCCCTTGGAAGAGCTCTGGTTATCCCTGCAATATAATAGCACTATCCCTCATTCCCAAAGTCCTTGAGCTGCAGAGTAGGCGAGAGGGAGCGAGCCAGGAGTGGGTGTTAGA